GCTTTCCAACTACACTTAATTTTTCTTTTTTTTTTTGGAGAAACCATACCTTCCAGAAATCCTTCATGATTGTAGCACACGATTAAAAGGAATTGGAAATCTATACAAAAATTTAGTACAGCTTATGTTCTGTAAGCCTTACAACAAAAACAACGTAAAAATATATTAGGAACGGTCCAAAGTTAAATTACAAATTGTGCTTTTTTTCAAGCGTTCGGACGCAAAATATACTTTACATGTAAAAAAAGAGTCGTAACGTTTACTTCATTTGTCAAAATTTTAATACAAAAGCTAGTTTTGGTTACTCTTGCCAGTCGCATAAAATTTTTTTCGGAAAGCTATAGGATTATCGACTTTCATCGCTTCAACTAACTTTTGTTCATATTGCTCTATGTAAGTACTGTTACTCACAAAATTGAGTATATGGTTTTTTTGTTAGTATTTGCAACTTTTCTTTTTGTTAATTTGGTATTAAAATATGGCTTATATTTTAGCAAACCCCATTTAAATCCTAGTATGAAACTGTGTACGAAAATTATGAAAAATCTGCAAAGTTTCAGCAAAATTGCAAACTTTTTAACAAGAATTTCAGTTTTAATATAATAATGTGCAAATTTCAAATGTCTAAAAATTCGCGATGATTTTTGGGAATTGTTTATACGTTTGAATTTGCACATTATTGTACTTAAACCGAATGGACTATGACCTGAGTTTTTTTTGAAAATCGTGTTAAAAAGTTGGCTTTGCATAATTTTCGTATACAGCTAAAAATATAAGCCATATTTCAATACAAAACAAAACAAAAAATTTAGCATTTAAAACATTGCGAATATCAACAAAAACGAACCGTATACTCAATTTTGTTATTAACAGTATATAGATATAGTATAGTACATATCGACGCCTCCAAACCATACTATGCTATGTCAGCTTAGACTTAGTCAGACTTAGCATAGTATGGTTTGGAGGCGTCGATATGTACGTCTGCTTGTACGAAGAAATGACTTCAACGAACGTTAATTAAGGCCTTCATATAGATGTAGATTTATTTGCAATAAAACCCCATATTTGCATTAAAAAATCGAGTGTGTTTAAATTCTTAAACAAAAAATTTTATCCATTGGAAAAAATCGGAACGTCCGAACAACTTCGAACAGTTTTTGGCAGCCACTAAACATCGATAGGAAGTTTAAGTTGAAGCAATGGTTATGGCTGCTTATTATTCTAACAACCATTCATACATAATTTTTTTGTACCGTTAACAGATTCGCAGAATTTAGCAAAAATCATCAGTCATCTTCGATACGAGTTCCATTTTGGGAACGTCCGAACGGGAACTTTTAATCGTTCTTCTTCTTCTTTCTCTTCTTCTTTATTGGCACTGTAACCGCCTAAGCGATTTTGACCGAGTCCAAAACAGCACGCCAGTCATTTCTCTTCTGTGCTAACTGACGCCAATTGGAAATGCCAAGTGAAGCCAAGTCCTTCTCTACCTAGTCTTTCCAACGCAGAGGAGGCCTTTCTCTTCCTCTATTACCATCATCGCGGCCCGCGTGGAATATTTTCAGAGCAGGAGCGTTTCTGTCCATGCGAACGACATGGCCAAGCCAGCGGAGCCGCTGAATTTTAATTCGCTGCACTATGTCTATATCGTTGTAAAGCTCATACAGCTCATCGTTAAATCGTCTGCGATATTCGCCATCACCAACGCGTAAAGGTCCGTAAATCTTTCGCAGAATCTTTCTCTCGAAAACTCCAAGAGCCGCCTCATCAGATGCTTTCATTGTCCATGCCTCCGCGCCATACACCAGCACAGGCATTAAGAGTGACTTATAGAGTGTGATCTTTGTACGACGAGAGAGGACTTTACTTCTCAATTGCCTACTCAGCCCAAAGTAGCACTTTTTGGCAAGAGTGAGTGATTCTCCGTTGGATTTCAAGGCTGATATTATTATTGGTGTTAATGCTGGTTCCCAAGTAAACGAAGTCGTCTGACTCTTTGTGTTTGTGTGATGACAGGAGATACTTCGTTTTGTCCTCGTTCACTACCAGGCCCATTCGCTTTGCTTCTTTATCCAATCCCGAGAAGGCAGAACAGACGTAGCCCTTCTTTTTACCGATAATATCGATGTCGTCGGCATACAGCAATTGTACGCTCTTGTAAAGTATTGTGCCTGAGCGGTTCAGTTCTGCGGCTCTTCTTATCTTCTCCAACATCAGATTAAAGAAATCACACGAAAGCGAGTCCCCTTGTCTGAAACCTCGCTTGGTATCAAACGGCTCGGAGAGGTCCTTCCCTATTCTGACGGAGCTGGTGGTATTGCGCAACGTCATTTTACACAGCCGTATTAGTTTCGCGGGGATACCAAATTCAGACATCGCGGCATAAAGGCAACTTCTCTGCGTGCTGTCGAAAACGGCTTTGAAATCGACAAATAGATGGTGTGTGTCGATCCTATTCTCGCTGGTCTTTTCCAAGATTTGGCGTATTGTGAATACCTGATCTATGGTGGATTTTCCAGGCCTAAACCCACACTGATAAGGTCCAATCAGCTCGTTGGCGGTGGGCTTCAGTCTTTCGCACAATACACTCGATAGGACCTTATAACCTATGCTTAGAAGGCTAATTCCGCGGTAGTTGGCGCGTATGGCGGGGTCGCCTTTCTTGTGGATTGGGCAGAGCACACTTAAATTCCAGTCGTCGGGTTTGCGTTTATCTGACCATATTCTGCATATGAGCTGATGCATGCACCTCATCAGCTCCTCGCCGCCGTACTTGAATAGCTCGGCTTGCAGGCCGTCAGCTCCAGCAGCTTTGTTGTTTTTCAGCCGCGTAATCGCTATTCGTAGCTCGTCATAGTCAGGCGGTGGGACAGCTACTCCATCATCATCATCGACTGGGGACTCGGGTTCGTCTTCTTCACTACTTTCAGCGCTGCTGCCATTCAGTAGGTTGTAAAAGTGTTCTCTCCACAATTTAAGTATATTCTGGACATCGATACTAGGTCGCCATTGTTGTTCTTACAGGAGTTCGCCCCGGTCTTGAAACCTTCCGTTAGTCGCCCAACCCTCTGGTAGAATTTTTGCGATTAATCGCTATTCGCTTACCATATAACATTTGTGGAAAATATTTTTATTGATTTCAGATAGGTATTGATGATGACTACTCATCATGATACAAAAAAGAAGGCAGTTTCAATAAACAACTTTTTACGGATAATAAAATTTTTTGAAGTTTCATAAATTTTGAGTATTCTCAACGGCCTTGCCACTTTGATAATATTAAAACAATAAATCGGAGTATTTTCTTTCCCACATTTATACCAATTTAATATTTCAAATGAAAAATCATTATTAGTTCTTGGTAATTTTTTTACTTACTTGGGTCGCACCTTTTTTTATTAAAAATATATAAAATGTGTAATGTTAAAGGAGACTTCAATGAAATTGTTCTTTTTATTTTGTAATAAAAATCACGAGAGCATTATTTTGTTATTTTTTAATTTTCTTATTTTGTATGCAATCTTGCAATTTAAAAATCTAATTCTAACGAATTCTCTTTCCAAATTGGGAAAAATTATTTTTGTTTTACTTTATAATTTTGGGAATATTTGTTCACATGAAATTCGTGAAAATTTACTTTTAAATTTCTTATCAGAATTTGCAAAAAAATTAGGCTTTGTGGTTAGCGTATCACCATTAACTTGAACAAATTGCGAATTTAAAATTTCAAATGTATGCAAAAAACTTGAGTTCGGCTTGCGCAGACCGTCTCTCCGATAAGCAATTAGCATAAGTATAATTTTGATCACTTTCTTCATCCGTTCTGAAACCTAGTCAACCCCCTTTTCGAGATTATGCATTAATTTTTAGGTTCATCATATTCGACGTGTTTGAGTGGACTAATGAAATCTTCTGCTTAAAAAACAAGTAATTTTTAGCAAAAAAAAAACCGACTTCAACTCTCATATAAAAAAAAAATATATATCTCATGATCCACTGATCGGATCTTAACCAGATTAGTATGGGACCACCTCTGAGACACTACCTTTCCGATGCAAAAAGAATTATTGGTTGGCGTGGTCCAAAGTTATGCGGTAACGTACATAAAAAAAAAAATAAAAATAAAAAATATTCCGACGAACTGATACCCTCCTCCTTTTTTGGAAGTCGGTTAAAAAGTGTCTCCAAACGGAACGTCCGCAACACAGGAAACACCCATATATGTATGTACTTAAGTCATTGCCGATAATGCAAACATACATATCGCTAGCTTAGAGTGAAAAGTTGCTAAGTACATTTTTAAAATTGTACAGGAGAGGAAAAAACTTCTTATTGCCATTTTCTTCAGGTATTTTGTGAAACTTTGAAGCAAGACTTCATACGAATTCGAATGATTCGTTGTTAATTAAAATATCTAATATATAAAAATCTTGTGTCACGCTATTGGTGAAATGGTGAAAATGTTGGACCAAGATGTTTCAATACAAAAAATTTATTTTGGGCGGGACGAAGTTCTCCGGATCTGCTAGTTATATTATATTATTGTATATTATTTTGGAATTATTGAATTTTTTGTGCCTCTTTGAGCCTAGGAAATTTGCATTTAATTGACTATAAACGGGAAGAAATGAAAAAAATACCTTATTCCTTTTGAAAACGATGCATTTTTAATTTATCGGCTTCCCTTAGCAAAATTTGAGTTTTCACAAAAAGTAGACTCAGCAACTTTTTACGCTAAGCTAGCGATATGTAGTATATATTGCTACCTTAAAATATTCTAGACTGACTCTTACTCGTTTTCTTTAGAAATTCTGCTTTATACAAGACTCGAAAAACTACATAAAATTCATAGAATTAGTTGTACTCCTTATTCGAAAACTGTGCTTTTAATTAGTATATTTTAATTACTCAGCTCAAAAATTTTATAAATGGCTTAGATAACGATCTATTGTAAAATAAGTTTTAATCTGTTTTTCTTTTTTTTTACTAATTTTCAGTTGTCCGTTCCTTGCCACACGTATAAATCCTATCATTCCTATTGTTGGTGCAGTGCTTTACTTCTTTACAATGAGTTCCTTGCTACGAACAACCTTTTCAGATCCTGGTGTTATACCCCGTGCCTCTCACGACGAGGCTGCCTACATAGAAAAGCAAATTGGTACAAATAATTGTTGAATACTTCTTTGAGTAAATACTAATCATTTACGTTCATATTTTTCATGTGTTATTACAGAAGTGCCAAATTCTCTGAATAGCCCCACATATCGGCCTCCGCCACGCACTAAAGAGGTCCTTGTTAAAGGACAAACTGTGAAGCTGAAGTATTGTTTTACTTGTAAAATTTTCAGACCTCCACGAGCCTCCCACTGTAGTTTGTGTGATAATTGTGTTGATCGGTTTGACCATCACTGTCCCTGGGTGAGTATTGTTGATCGAATTGCAAGGGGAGGCTAACATATATAAATACATATTTTATAGCGAATAGTAAATAAAATTATATGTATGTATAATCAAATATATATTTATTATATTCATAGGTTGGTAACTGTGTGGGGAAACGAAACTATCGGTTTTTTTACTTATTTCTAGTCTCATTAGCATTTTTAGCTGTATTTATATTTTCCTGCTCTGTGACACATTTAGTTTTATGTAAGTACATCTGTTACAATTAGACAACAAAAACAAAACAAAAAAATAAAAACAATGGGACAATTAATTCACATACTCTTTTGTACAGTGATGAAAGCAGAACAGGAAGTATTTGAAGTGATAAAAAAGGCGCCATTTACTGTGATTGTTGTGTTCATTTGTTTTTTCTCAATTTGGTCAGTTATTGGTTTGGCAGGATTCCATACCTATCTCACCACAAGCGATCAAACAACAAATGAAGATGTAAGCGAATATTAACAGAATATATGTATAAACATTCATACATTTATTGAGTGTTTAATTGTCTAAATTTTTTTACACGCAGCTCAAGGGATCGTTTTCATCCAAAGGGGGACAGCGCTCTATAAATCCGTATTCACGGGGGAATATTTGCCTCAATTGCTGCCATATACTTTGTGGTCCCATGACACCGTCTTTAATAGACCGGTTTGTTAATTTTTCGATAATCTGCATATATGTATAAATAATGTAATTTAATGCCACATTTTGTATTCGACTTTTACACAGCCGTGGGATAGCGACAGATGATTATATTCTGCAAATGCAACAACATACCAGTCCACGACATCCCTTGAGCGACGTGATGAGTGCTTCTCACGTTGGTACAAGTGGAATGATTACGTCACAACCTGTGATTTCTGGCGCTGGAGGTGGCATTAACATTGGTGGAAACGATATTAAACCCCGCTTGTACGATGAGGTGAGCAAGTGCTTTTACACAAAAATACTCTACTAAACAAATCGTGCATTAAAAAACAACTATTTAATGGATCGAAACTATTTAATAGAGAAAAACGGGAGGGACTCCTTTCGCAAGCGAATTATAAAGTTTGACTAATTTTTTAAATTCTGTATAAAGTTTGAAAGTGTGATTTATATAGGTTTTGTTAAAGCATGAACCATATTTTTTAAAGAAAAATATCAAAGAAATTTTAGCTTGAAAATCATAGTAAATATGTATTAAAAACGAAACACCATTCATCCCCTTTTGACCGCCACTGTAGATGTGTATGTGTGTATGTTATTAAATTTGTATACAATTTGGTACAGTTACAGTTAGAGAATCTTCATGAAGTTAATCCAATTTTCATTTTCAAGATATTAATGAAAGAATAATTTTCCCAACTTTTTTGAAAGTATTTCAAACGCGCTCCAGCTCCCGAATGACACCGAATTGAGAGAAAATATTTGAGGCGATGAGAGCAGAAGTGGCCTAACCCCCTTTTTTGGTTCTTTTACACTTTGTCACTTTTATTTTGAAATTTATAATATTTGAAACTATTTTAAATAGGTAAGTACAAATAAAGGTTTTGATTTAAGGCAGTGTCACACGATTAGGCATTTGCCTAGATTTTTTTTGTGCAAATTATGTGAATACACAAATATTTTTCTGTATCCCAATCACGAAAAGTAATTTGTTCAGATCGTGTGAGTACATAAAAAATTGTCGTCCCAATTTTTTCGTTTTTTAACAATAGCCCAATATAAAAAATGTGCAAATCTGTAGAAATGTACCAATCGTGTGACACTGCCTTTAGGCCATTTTTGCTCTCGCGGCCTCGTTTTAGTGTGAGCCTATATTTTTTATCATGGTGTGAGCTATAAAACTAATTAAAAATTGTATGATTCGCTTGGGAAAGCAAAAACCTTTCCGTGAGGCATATTACTACAAAAAAATGTATATACTTATGTATTCTAAACAAATTCATTTTATCTTTTATGACCCTGAAACGCTCATGGAACACCCAACTTATAATTACGAACAATTTAAACCATGAAAACTGGCCGGCGCCCTGCTGACTTCTTTGGGTAAATAAAAAATCTGCAGTCCAATACATCTTCGGCAACTTTAGGTGGTGGCAGTAACGGCATATATCGGCCGCGAAGTTATGATAACTTACAAAACGGTAAGTCACAACATCAACAATACAAAAAGTGTTCCTTGCAAACACTTCTACCACCCACTACTCATCAATTCAAAAGTCGATTACTAAAACCAAAACAAGAGCGACAAATTCTCCACGAAACGCATAGTGCATACGCGACGCCACAAATCATACATTCACCTGCCATATCGTCGTACCATTTAAACCTGAAGCGATCGCTTCATTTGCCACTGTCTCCCGCTTTTGATGCGGGTGGCTCACCTCTGCCACTTTTGCATCACCATCCCCCCACACATTTACACGCAATTCATGCTGCAGCATCACATGCACAATCCTTAGTAGTGGCAGCAGCCGCGGTAGCAAGTGATGCTATCACTTCTTCACCCATATCGACATTAACAACACCGATGGCCGCCGCCACCCTGCACTCTACTGCAAAACGTCCGTCGACTTTACAACTGCAGGTAACCGCGGCACATTCGGCCAGCACTACAACTCTGACGACTATACATACGGCAGCTCCGCAAGCACCAGCCCCATCCGATTTTAAGTACTATTCACCTCAGCGCAGTACCGATTCAAATCTTATGCGAAATTATCCATTCCACAAAATTCGTGGTATGCGTCGTCAATCGACGCAGTCGGTTGATTCACAAAAGGTGAACATAAGCGGTTATCAACCACTCCCGATGAGACCGCGATACAAACATCAAGAAGTGCTTTTCGAATTAAAATCACCAACGAATCGGTTAACAATTCGCGAGTGTGACTTCGGTGGTGGCGGTGAGCCCTGTGACGATGATCAATCCATAAAGGATAGTCAGATATTTCGTGTTAGTAAACGAAATCTATACATGAATCACCGATCACCGTGGAAAGAGCGCGATCGCTATTCCAATTTGTATGAGTACTCGTTTAATATTGATTTAAATTCTATAATCGAGGATGCCGCAGGAAGCGATTCGTCATAGTATGAGATGGGTATTGCCCAAGCTTTAATTAATACTATTACACTATTCAAGTTGCTGGGAATTAAAAGTGAAGAATGTAAAATGACAGTATTTTTCAAAACCTCAATTAAAAGAACAGTATATTTATTGTTGTATGAGTATAGAGTTTTAAAAGCAACGACTTTACTAAGTATTAAGAAATTTAGAATTCCAGTTCTTCAACACGTAAACTTAAAAAAAAATGAGGTTGTAAAAGTAATTGCATACAATGAAATTTATGATAAATGTAAATTCCTTTAAAATAGGATAATACGAAATATCAAAGGTAGTGCATATTTAGGTGCATATATATGTATATATATATATATATATATATATATGTGTGTGTGTTTGTGTATGTATGTATGCACAAATGTGTACGTACTGCGAATT